TTGTTTGAAGTCGGTTCAACTTTTTTTTAAAAGGGTTTAGTTTTAAAGTTTTTAATTTCTAACGCATAGGTCTTGTTTGTTCATTTGCCTCTAAAACACTCGGAAATATTTTTTTTCCGATATAACCCGTGCCGACTTGCATTGAATCATGTTTATACATGTTGTGCGGCAGTAGCGGTACGCAATCGTGGTATTTGTCATTAGTTCTTAATTATTCTCGCTATTAACACGTATTGTTTTACATTTAAAAGATGGCAGGTGAATTAAGAAGAAATAAAAAAAAAGACAAAGTACAAATAATGTGCTATGACACAACTGCGTTTAATACAGGTGATTGAAAGGATCTTGTTTACTTTTGGATCTGGAAAATTAGACAGGGAATTACTACTCTTTCCTTGCCGCCATCTCCTTTACAGACTAGTTTTAAAATGTGTGTTCGAAACAAAAATCCACCAAGTCACAAGTAGCCCTGATATCCCACTGTTCTTCTTCCCGTTACAATTTTCAGAATAAAGTAAAATTTCAAAAAGGTTATCGCAGATATGTAAAAGTAGTTCACATGATACACGATATACGTTTAGCCACACCCAGTCAACCTAATCCATTGGCTGTGTGTACTTAACCGTGTTCAATGAAATGTAGTAGAGAAACTATACTAATGTTTCACAAACAGTAGAGGCCTTGAAACTTGAATTTATGAGGCAATTGAACGTAATAGGCATCCGATGACAGTTTCCTTCATAATAAACTCCGACATCGCTCGCTTAATATATAGTGATGGATTTATTGTTTATCGATAGAATCGTTTTAATAAATTATAGCGGATTATGTCAGAGGTGTAATTTATCGATGTCAAACCATGTTGTGCTTATTAAAGGCGACACTTTAAGGAAAAGCCGTATATTGATGTTTTTTATTTTGTTTATGATATTATAATTATATATATTAACTGCAAAAACAAAGAATATATTTGCATTTCCTTGGCTAGTATTGGTGGAAGTATCATGACTAATTTCTTAGTCACGATACTTCAACCAATATTCTCATACTCAAGAAATTGTCTTAACATTATTGCTTTTGGCATTAGATTAAATTAAATTTTAGTTAGTTTTTAGATAGTAGCAGTCAATGTTACAGTGATCTACAGTTATAATGAATAAGTATACTCCGTCAATTATAGACGGCTTTTCAAAATTCTTTTTTTGTTCGTAGGGGGTTTATTCCGAAATGGTCCCATTAAAATTTCATATAGATCTGTAATACGTATATACTTTTTTAATCTTCACCATACATTAAGAGTTCGGAAAAAAGGGAAGTGTTACGTTACTAGGAAAAAAAGGTAAGCATGTTGCATTTTTGTTAGACACAAGATACAGCTTTAATATAGATTCGTGTTGAAATAATAGAAACACTAATAGCTCAGTTTGATGTAAAATGTCTACAAAAATTGGAATGGTTCATTGTACTTTTTAAATAATTCCAGTTTTTTTTTTAATATTTAAAATTAACTGTCGATAAAATAATTTCACAACACTAGTAGTGGAGCTCGGTCGGCAATGAGCGATGTAGCACTCAATCATCGTACGTCTCTATCATCGCTATCTAGAGCTTGGACTCTATTGCGGTGAATGATCACCGTCTAAGCGCATTTATGAAGGGGTTTTGTATTATTCCTCAACAATTGCCTCCAAAATTTCCAAGAGATTCAATATGAGAAGATGTCTTTTCAGCTGTTTTATGGGCAAGAACCTAAGAAGGCATTAAACAGAAGAAAAGACTAGTATTTGCAATGAAGTACTAATATACGACAATAATTTAAATAACAGAGAAATCATGACTGTTTTTTTCAAAATTACAGGTTTCTACAACAACTTTAGTTTAAAATATTACTGGGAACGGATCAAAAAATCGAAAATTTTGCTTAAAATATCTATAATAGTCATCCCGTGAGTGCCGACTAAGGGAGCAAACTACGCAGGATAACAGCACTACAAGGAGAAGGAAACTTGAAAAAACCCTTTACCAACCCGTCTGATTTAGTAGGCCAAAACCTCCTTTCTAAGGAGAGGCCCAGCAGTGGACTAGTAAAGGCTGTGGATGAAGATCTATACTTATATTATAAATGCGAAAGTAACTCTGTTTGCCTGATTCGCTGTCACGAATAAATCCCTGAACCGATTTTAATGACATTTGGCATGGCGATACTTTGATTCTCGAGGGACATTGACTACTTTTTACAGCGAAAACCGACTTATACGCCAGTAGAGCCGCAGGCAAACACAAGTATATAAATAAAATGAGTGGAATTGAAGACCTGATTCTTGTAATAGTTAGATACATGCCACTAATTACTGACTTTTTTAAAACACATTCAACAACAACTCAACTTCAATGCAGTTTAGTCAGTATCTTTTTAGTATTAGTCAATTAATAAGTTTAGTTAATTTTTATAAGAAATATAAAGACACAACCTTACATCTTTTTGTTGTTAAATAACCCAATGGTATATTATTTACCACATTTACACAACGCCATCGAGTCCCAAACTAAGTAGAGGTTGTACTATGGGTTGTCTAGTCAACCGATTAGATACGCATATCATTTTTTTGTAAATACTTTTTGTTAATAAACATATAAATCACTTTTATAAATGTTAATTTAATGATTATAAAGGTAATTAAAATAATAAAATTGAAATTGAAGAAAATTTCTCACACTATTTCTTTTCATATTAGCAACTTGGCTAAATAATTTATTTTAAGCGTAGACATCTACCCAATTATCCTAATTTGTCTCAGTTAAAGAAATGTATCCTCTCTTTTGATTGTTATTTTTTTCTGTAGGTAGGTGTAGATATTTAACTTTTTAATATGGAAAGAAGCATTTTTAAGAACTGTTTTAAAGAATCTGTTTTATTCGTTTCAGTACACGCTACTGAACGAAATAAAGGCACAATTAGAAGCGGCTTAATTTAAAGCCATCTCAGTTTCGTTTTTATTTTGTTTTGACACACACCGAAGAGTATCAAAATATATAATTTAATTTATGATTAACATACTATAGTTATTTTTTAAAACTATAGTGATAAAAGCGCAATATACAATTTACTAAAACTATTTAAAAAAAATACTGGAACATCCCTTTGTTTAATATTATAGACTATATACATATTATATGATATACAAAAGCAGCGGGCGGTCTACGCGCCGTATGAAACGAGAAATACGAGTAATAGATGAGGGTTATCTATCCGACCCTGTTATGTCATTATGATACTTGTCAGTAACGGAATAGCAACTGTTATTAATATTTCTCGATCATATTTTGAAGATAACATCTAAACAGTATTAACAATTTGGTGACAGTCGGGTTCATATAAGTATTGTTTACAGCGCCATGAAGGTCATGTCAAGGATAAATATTTAATAATCACGGGTACGACAGTAAATACTTTTCATAATCATCATCCCTCCCTCCAGGCTGTCTACAACAACCGGTCCATGGCTGCCCTCATACAACGGCTTCCCACGACCTTCACCAGGTCATCGAATCACCTTGTAGAAGTAAGGGCCTACCAACGCTCCGTCTTCCGGTACGTGGTCGCCACTCCAGAACTTTTTGGCCCCATCAGCCATTTTTCCTGCGAGCAATGTGTCCCACCCACTGCCACTTAAGTTTAGCAATTCTCCGGGCAATGTCAGTGAACTTCGTTCGTCTGCAGATCTCCTCATTCCTGATTCGATCACGTAGAGAAACTCCGAGCATTGCCCTCTCCAGTGCTCTTTGAGAGACTTTTAGCCTCCTCACAAGACCCATTGGGCTTCCGGACCTTTTTCTGTAAGGCCATATTTTCACATCGGCCGGCCAATTTGTGTCATTTAGTGGACTCGTCCAGAATGACTTATTCCTGTGTGTGCATTTGATAATATTTATGGCCAACCAGACCCAAAACTCGCTGTGTTTCTAGTTGTGGAATTTATGAATTTGGTGTGTGGTACTTCTTTTTAATACTTTGGTTCGCAGTATAATGGAATATTGCTCACAAGCTCGGTCTCCATATTCTAAATCTCACAAAAATCGTCTAGAACGAACACAAAGAAGGTTCTTTAGTCATCTTACGTATAAAAGAGTATTTCGCAGAATACTGAATTCTCGCTTACACTACTTTAATTTAATGTCACTTAATGATAAAAATAAACTTCTTGATCTTTCATTCTTATACAATATTCTTAACAGTAATAAACATTGTCCTCAACTAATAGTTGCTGGGCTCAAGTGTCTACAGACTGTTCATTATACGTAGATATAAGTATATAAGTCAAAGTCTTAACTTGCCATTAACCAGAATGTTGTTATATTTGACTATTTTTGGAGATAGTTTGTCTATTTTGAAGAAACAAATCGTGGATTATCTAGAGTATCTTGGGTGAGTAAAAGTTCACCTAAGATTGGATTAAAGTAGTCCGTGATGTGTTGTTTTTAATATTCAGTTTTTACCTAATAGTTTTCATTTTCTTTTATATTTTTCTATTATATATATTTTTAAAATTAAAAATGGCACAATTTTTACTTGTGTTAGTTGTGAATGCCTATAATTAAATAAGCACAAGGCATGTTTTTGTATTTTTTTTTCTTAAATTAGATATATTTACTTAAAATTCTAATTAATATATTAAATACGTGTATAATTTGTTGGCGATCCAAAATAAATAAAATAAAAATAAAATTCTTTACGTAAAGTAGGAGAAGATATGATGCTGTATTTATTGAAAATTCAAACTGTCAAAAACAAAAACATATTTACACGAAGATGAAATCGCGATAAACGCTAGCTGTCGCTCGCAGCTTCACCCGCTACTATGGACGATATGAATGTAATTTATAGCCTACTTAGCACTCGAGGGTCATTATCCTTGAGTGCTAAACAGCTACACATCAAAGAAAGAATTTCCAGAATCAGTTGAGTAATTTCAAATACAAGCAAATTTTACCTTTTTTTAATGCCGGTATTAGTATAGATAATGATTCAAGAATCCTGTGAGGAATGTGGCTATTAACAAGGTATGAGGATGCTACTAATGTGGGGTACGACTGAATTTTTTGTTCGTTACTATTCGAGTTTCAGTAACTAAATATATGTAATAATATAATACATAACAATGTAACACCATGTAGCCATATTTATAAACTTCGGGTCATTTAATTCTTAACAACTTTACCTTTTAAAAGAAAACTTTTAATTTGAAACTACTAAAAAGGTACAGTCTCATCTCTATGCCAACTTGACGCTAAATTAAAGAGCTAGTTTTATTACAGAATGTTTTTCAACTTATGTGACTTTGATCCTAACTAACAATATAAAGGTGAAAATGTTTGCGTGTTTATTACCGTTTTACTACTAAACCTTTCAAATGATCGTAATTAAATGCTAATTTTGTCCTTTCTGTCAGGAATATTTACAAAGAAAGATTGAAAAATAGTGTAATGCCTAAAAATGCTAAAATAGTTCATAACTTTTTAATACCGGCTTTTTCAAGTAGTAACTTTTTTGATTTAAATGTGCTTTAAAGCATACATTCTTGACAATGATAATTATAAATACCCTTTCGAAGACCAAAAACCACGGTTGACTGTCTCAAAGAGTGAACGGACAAACGTTTTTCGGACAAATGTATTCGGATTTTGTTGTTGATAAATATTTAATACCTAGAACGGATACAATTTTAATTCTGTTTTTTTTTCCAACAGATTCAAGGCAAGCCAATAATACAGCAGAGGATTCTACCAAGTCCTGTAGTGTCTATCGACGCTCCACATCACTTTCGGAACACTCCTACGCCTGGTGATGAACACAACAACATTATCTTCAGTCCCTGGAAGGCGTTTGGGCCTTTTGTTGACACTATACAGGTACAGAAAAAAAAGTGGTTTACAAAAACTAAAAACACGCGCTATAATAATCTTATTTAAAAGTAGGCCAAAGTTTTGATAGATTCCCATCATTCAAATAGCCACTTTTGATTTGAATTTTACACGTTACTTAACAATATAATACGAATATATCTGTATATAGACAAACTAAATGCTATTTTGACTATTAAAAAACTATACTAGTAAATTCTTTATAACAAAAACCAAATAACAACAAAAAGTGGAATTACCTTACCTGTACTTACAAGGTCATTACCTTGCTACTTTAACCTAGACAACATAAGACAAAGCCAATGTCAGTTATTCGTCTATTAATTAATAGATCTTGATTTACCACAACATTACTACGAAATTTACTATTAATATTCCAGGCGTAAAGTTTGTGAAATAATTTGCTTTGCAATTAAAAATTATTACTTGGGTAATTACGAGTTTGTTTTCGTGTTTAAAGAAGAAATAATTAGAGTATTTAAATCAAAATTCTTTTTCAGCAAAGGTACAAAGGAAAACTGTTTACGGTTTTTTTTTTTTTAATATGCCTTACGCCTGAGGGAAATCGGTTTTGTTTCGTGATTTAAAAACACTGAGAGTATATATTATTTATGTCTGGCTAATTCTATTGAAGCCCACTATTGGGCTACTATGACTAGGCTATCAAGCGTCAAACTAAGTTGTGTAATAAGCCCTGTATTTAAATATATATTGATGAAAATGTTGAACACTTTTATATATTTTTTTAGTTTTGCTACTTTACTCAATCCTTCTCTTGCCATTTCAATAAATTACGGTATTTCTGACTAGGTTTTTTTACCGTTGACAACCCTGACATGAAAATATGATTTTCTTATAGCCTGGCACCAGGGCTGGTGTTAACGGTTAACGGTTTATCCATAACTTACGACTGACCCTGAATGTATTGTAATGTCTCATCCGACAGATTAGGTGTTTTTTATTTGTTATGGGAGGACAAACGAGCAGAAGGGTCAGATGGTAAGTGACTGCCATCACCCATGAACACGTGCAGCTCAAGAATCACAAGTTCGTTGCCGCCCTTTCAGTCCCTTCCCCGACAATTAGGGGGAGGGAGATTTGGACTCCGATAACCAATGTGGAATAAGAAAGGCCTATGTCTAGCAGTGGACTGCGATGTGCTGATGATGATGATGAACAAATGTGGTGAAAGCAATGAAAAAACTGCTTAGCACCGGTTTTCTGTGAGGCCGAGGTAACACTCCGGTCGGGTCTGGCCCAAATATACCACAGCATGGCTTTCCCGCGATTAAGGTTTAGTAAAAATGATCTCATGATGGATCCAATAAGCTAATAGTGTTAGTGATTTTTTAATGGCTCCAAACTGTAATATCTTTAAACTCCGAGGTCCATTTACATAAAAGCTGAGGCAGCCCAGTGGTTAAGGCATTGTACTTGCGACCAAGAGGTTGTGAGTTAGAATCCTGGCCAGTACACTACTGACGTGAACCCACTCCTAACACAAGCAATTAAGCTTAGCATGAGGGGTTAACGAGAATACCAGTAATTTCGGTTGCTTGTAGACCTTTTAACAACAAATTAAAGATATCCACAAACTCGTAAAAGAGCGTACTCCTTTCTCAAATTGCCGTAAACGCACTTGTGACTCCTGAGTTACGGGCGTTCAAGGGCGGCGGTAGTCGCTTTCCACCAGGTGACCCTTCTGCTCGTTTTACCTCTCTTCCAAAAAAAGAAATTGAGAAATACGTCAAACGTTACGAGATCGCTTATTTAAGCAGCAGTAACTCTGTTTAGCAAAGCAAAGGCAAAGCGGTGGAAGTAAACTACCGAGAAATGTAAAGTCTCCTACCAGCACTGATAGCTTTAAAGATAGGCTAAAAGGCTGGTTAGTCGAGCCAATCGTTTATTCATTCCACCCATGGTTTTCGATACTATTTTTAAAATATAGTTTTAAATAAGCGTGTGCCTTTCTATTATCTTTTATTTGAAAATAATTACCAAATACTTTTCCTCAGTTAAAAACCGGGCGTATTTAATAATGAACGCTTTAAATCAAGCAGAATTTTTCATCTTGAAGAATAGATTATCTCAGAATGTTAGAGTAACAAATACGATACTGTAATTTGTTTTTGACGTTGATTAATGATGCAATATAGTACCTTGTTTCCTGCTTTAAAATGAACAAGCAGAAAGAAACTTGGCCAAATACTTAAAATAAAACAATAAATTGTGTTTTTACTTATTTTAGTTAATTAGTTATAATAAAGAGATTCAATTCAAGAAATTAAAGATAATGATCTAAAATTTAGTGTAACATGTTTTTAACCTGATGAGATAGAGATCAGGTATTCCAGTCACTTTCAATAGGTGTTTAAATTGTAGTGTGTGAAATAGAGGACATAAAAAATAATTAACAGTCTATCCCTCTGTCTTACCAAAACGGTTAGTGTAAATGTAGATTTTTAGAGGTGATCTTGTTCCAGGACGGAGAATTACTACCAAGTCAAGATACCGTTGTGCTGCCATCACCAAGACATCGTGACAATTCCATGGACGAAGATGCTACGGATCCTATGCCTACAGCAGAAACGTCTAATAAGGTATTTTCAAACAGAATAAGTCGTAAATTTACATCTCAACTTCTGCTACGCCTTTGCTACGCTGTGGCACGTTCTACATCAAAGCTGTAGAACTATGTCTAGATCATCACTGAAGAATGTACACAGAAAAATTGTTCGGCTACTGATATTTTAATTAGCCCCATTTAGGATGAAACGGCCGTGTTTGAGACGTCAATTTTTTATTATTAGTGTTTGTAAATTCGAAAGATATTTAATAAATTCGATAAGTTCATAATCACCATCATCAGCCTAACGCAATCCACTGCTGGACATGAGCCTCTCTAGTTGCACACCACTGATAGATTTTCGGGTTCTCGATAATTTCAATAAGATTAAATTACAGAATTTTATTATTCAAAGGTTGATTTCTTAAACTGTAACACTCAAAAATGTTTTATTTTTGAGAGATTGATTTTGAGAGAAGATTTGTTTTTACACCAGGTGGCGTCTATTAGCCAATTATCCTTCATGGTGAGGCCAGACAGCTTCGAGCGAGGCCAACTAAGATTGACCTGCATCTCTACTGTGCACTCAGTGTACAGTGAACAAGCGGAGCTGGTCATCAATGAAGAGAGGCCTCAAATAGCATCGGTCCTCGGGACAAGAGACGGAGCGGGAGGTAAGTTAGAGATAGAGTTTAAAAGTACGACAGCCGTCTTGAAAAGATGATTGTAATTTTGAAACGCATTTGATTATTTTTTTATTTACTTGAAGATATTTTATGTACAATAACAAGTTTTTTGGCAAGGAATTTTTTTGGTATGTATCTTCACACAATATATTTTGTCTATAAATTAGGTAAGTATTATTTGATTAGATTAATTGCCTAATCAATAAATTTACTGCAGAAAGTTTTGCTTCACGAACTCGATGACGGAGTGCAAACATCGCTTTGCCGGTTTCAGTAATTTGATTTAAATGGCTAAATGTATAAATAAAGGATTGATTACATGGTACGGAGGAAATTAAACTTGTGATATCATTACTTATTATATGCCATATATTCTAAAGAAAGTCCTTACATGCATTTAAAAAAAGAAATAGGTATCTCGTATATAAGTTTCTTGTAACTTAAAATACTAAACGTATATAATTAATTATGTATATATAGTAAATCTTTACTAGATGAATATTAGGCCTTTTAGTATTACCTGGTCAAAATAGAAAATAATTACAGTGGAACACACAATCTTAAAATTTAGAAATGCAGGAATTTAAAAGTAAATAAATGTGTTACATACTTAAAAATTACGTTAAAAAAAAAACAAAAATACGTGGAAATAAGATATACGGGTGCAATATGTATGTTTTTCAACTAATATGGAATATTATATACCAGCTCTGTAAAATAAAATAAAAACTTATCAAAAATACCAATTAACACTGTGAGAATTTGTTTATTCAAATATACCTACTTTCGTTCATTTCAATTCGAACATCATAAATAAACTAAATAAAAAAGTATAAAGTAACATTAATAAACATACGTGAAAAACTACGATACATATAAATCATCACTTTCATGACAACATTTTCAATGTATTTCGGCATTAATCACAGTGGATCGAAAGCTTTCACGACTCGTCACGGTTCAGTAAATTACATTACGGTCTATCTGAATCCGATGCATGGATAAGTACTAGAAAATGAGAATGTACCTAGCGTGAATCTGCTAAATGAAAATTTACTACAAAATGAGAACTAGCATTTGTGCTCTACAGAAAGTTACTCGGAAAATAAAACCAAACAACAATGCAATAGAGTGGAATATTTATTCTTGAATAGAAAACAGTCTCATTTTCAAATATCTAAAAATGGAGTTAAGAATTAGTATTCTATCTTTTTCGACATACTAAATTTTGCTACTAAAACATACTCTATCTACCTCTGAAAATTACATAAAAATGATTTTTTATATTTTCAAGAGGCAAATAGAAAAAAAGAGAGACAAAAAAAAAACTTGTTATTCTTCTTATACATCCTCTTTCTGCTCTTTTATTATATGTGTAAATTCTACTCTGCAGTACAGTGTTATAGATTTCGATACGTCACGTTTTTTAAATTAGGTTAGTTAATGCCACATTATCCTAAAAGCTTTTGACTTTAGTGCCTTGGAGTAAGGAAAAATAAATGATTTTACATTTATTTTTCCTTTTTTTTGTTTATTCCTTTCATGGTTTAATTTATTTTATTTATTTGCAATAATGGTTTAATTAGTTTTAGAGCCCCATTATTATTGCCTGGTCTCCTACCGGCCACATGAATTCGATTTAAAATCCGGGGCCGAACCAACTTTTAATTTTTTATTCCGGGGCACGAATATTAGGGGCCACTACTCGGGGGTTGTGCGGTGTATCTCGACCAGAGTGATACCACAGCCTCACAGAACACTGGTGTTAAGAAATTCTTTTGTTGCCTTTCACTGAGTAAGTGAGGTTACCAAGCCCAAAACCCCCTTCCCGCTGACTCGACCGGGAGGGACTCCAAGGGCAGCAACGCACTTGTGACTTTTGAGTTTTAGGTATCCATGGGCGGCAGTAGTTTCTTACCATCAGTCGACCCGTCTGCTCCTGTGCCCCCTTAAACCATAAAAAAAAATGGAGACGAGAGTTCTTGCGGCTCTGTGTCGGCGTTATGGAGGTTTGGCTCGAGAAGCATCACGGAACCCTCTCATACTGGCTGAAGCAGGCTAATCACCGGGAAAGGATGTTTCGGAGATCACCCGTGTCTGATCCGCAAGGACCTAACGCCTGAGTGCCACCACTGCCCTGGCCGGACCGTGGACATGGCGCTTGACAAAATAGCCGTGGTGGGTGGAGCAAAAAAAAGGGTTCTGAGTCATTTTGTCTTATTAATTAGCTAAAGATAGGGTATAAATTAGCTATATTGCTATGTTTTTGTCATTTCCCCAGTTATGATAGAAATCTATTCTTCTTTATTCTTATAACCACATCAATGAAATATTTAAAACCCTCTTTTTGAGATTCAAAACTCCACAACCGAAGATCGTGAATCGTAAAGAATTTTTATTTCTAGATGTAAACACAGCGTCTGAATACGTAGAAAGCAAACCAATCCCACTCTACAATTCAAATATTTGCCGTAGCCAACTTCCACTGCAATTTGCCACGATAAACTTTTCCGCGGCGGTGCATCTTTGTAAATATATGAAAAATTAAAAAAAAAATGCACTATACACATGGTTATAAACACCGTATAGAGTAAGAGAGTATGGGACCGATGAGGACAGATACCGTAACCACATTTCGGTCTTGTAGGCCATCCACGGTGTAAATTATCATCGTGGATGGTCGTTACCCGCCTTTTGATGTCCTGGCGGATGTGCTCGTGTGTCCAGACTCGAGCGATCCGCCGCGGCGGATGCGGTCTAGACAAGTACGAGCTCGAGAAAAGCAGCGGAAAGCTTACCGATAGGCACCGGTGCCGTTTTGCCTAACCTCGAAGCTTGGGAATTAGGGAGGGAGGTCGCGTCACCTAATATTAACGCAGGTACTCACTGGGCATGGCTGCGCTTCGTTGAGTACCTGAATCAGACTGAAAACGAGTACAATGCTAGCACTGCGCAGCCGACTGGGACTCAGAACACGCTGAAAGACTGTCCCGCGTGGGCGTCTGATCGCGAAGTCCTAGTTGACCAAATCGGACGAGACCTGTCCCCATTGGCACTCATAGCACATGTAGGGCGCAGTGGTGTCTTTCTGTGAAGCTGTAATGCTTCAGGAAGAGACCGCTGAACCGATTTAAAATGACTGCACAGATGGCGTAGTGGTTTAAGCGGTCGCCACGCCGCTGACTATTAAGGCGAGTGTTGTGGGTTCAAACCCCACATGGGACAACACTTTGTGTGATCCACAAATTGTTGTTCTGAGTCTGGGTGTACTTTGTGTCCGTTTCATGTATGTTTGTAAAGTCCCCCGCGACACAGGATGTATTCCTAGTGCGGGAGTTGTCTTTAAAAAAAAAAAAAACAATCCTTAAAATGCCATCCACGGTGTAAACTATCATTATTAAGCTGAAGACTCACTCATTTGATTTTTTTAATTTCCCATATATACATTTCATGAGAAAAATCATAGCTGTACTCTGCTGTACCTTGCTACGCTTCGCTGCGGCACATTGTAATTGAGACAAAAGCAATCTACGTATATCTTGTCAAAAATTTGATCTAAATCGGTGTAGAACATACATTAGAGTGATATTTTTTTATTAGAGTATTCCTCTAGGTAGGTCATAGGTTACGTAACATCAAACTGCGAGCCTTAGAGTGCTACCTAAGCTAAAGTTGAACTCCTTGCCCTAATGTAAAGACTAGAGGGTTTGCTAATGAAACACAATCTATCTTTGGAACTGGCTGGTTTATTTATCACAAACTCGTATACAGACGACCTTATTAAATATCAATATAATGATAGCGCGATTTACATAAACGAATAAACGCCATCTATGACGACGACAACGAACACCAAGTGAAACATAAAAAAAACATATTTTTTTAGAACATCGATCGTAAACAAGGAGCGTATTAGTGACCTAACTGATCATAGTTTTTTTTTGCTTTAATCTCTAAAACTTTTAAAGAAAATCATTTTTTTTTCAAAAATACGATTTAAATGAACTGTAACCATTTCTTACGTTCTATTCAATTTTGCATAAGTTCTGTCACATATTGATTTCTGTTTTAAAAAAATGTTCATAAGGCCATTCTAACATATTGTGTAAACTGGTTTTAATTGAAATTGTAACTGGTTTCCATAACCCCGTGAGTGACGTCAGATATTCAGTATTACCTTAGCAGAATCTACTTAGTAACAAAATCCATGTTTTCTTTGCAGATCAAACTGTATCACACATTTCATGCTCAAATAACAAACCAATCGCGCCGTACTTTCTACTACTTTCGTCCCAGATCCCCTAAATCCATCCAATCACTTCTTATCAATCGTTTCCTAACAATCTATTCCTATTTCACGTCTCACCTATCACAAAAACTTACAATAAAAGCCAAAAAATATATTTTAGCGTTAGGATTCACGTGTGGGTGGTTACATATCAGATAGATTTCAAGGCTCGGCTAAATCAAATACTAACAGTACATGAAAGTATCTAAGTGTCTAAAAAACTAAGCGTCCGTGTGGTGACGGATTAAGAATACGAATTGTCCCCACCCCTAACCATCCCGTGGGTGTCGTAAAAGCCGATTAAGGGAGAAAACTACGCAGGACAACAACACTGCAAAGAGAAGGAAAACTTGACACAAACTCTATGCCAACCCGTCTGGCCAGCGTGGTGTAGTAGGCCAAAACCTCCTTTCTAAGGAGAGGCCTATGTCCAGCAGTGGACTGTTAAAGGCTGTTCATGATGATGATGACATGAAAGTCTGAATCAATAACTGCATTTCCTTGTATATGTCATAGGCAACCAGTGAAATATTTGCTCATGCTGGCTTTTGAATAGATCGCAATGTATTCCCTACGTTATAGTCTGTTTCTATGATTCTGTACATGCGTAAAGAGTAAAAAGATAATTTTGAATGTGTGTCATATTAATGCAATGAATGCATATGTGTACCCATATATTATGTTGTTTATATTAAGAGGTTTTTATAAATTCAACAGTGGTATGTGGAAATAGAGTTGTGTAACGGACGT